TTCTTTTTACATTTTCAAGGGGAAGTACCAAGCAGAGTCTGAATGATGAGATCTGCACGATATAAAATAGATATTAGAAATTTGAATGTTATAATTTTAGAATGCACAAATTCAATGTTTAATGAGATTTCATATGATAATAACAATAACATTTAAAGGTGTTGCACTTCGATTGGCAATCATAGGGGGAATTTTGCTTTTTAAGAATGTTGGAAAAGAACATATGAAATTGTAAACAAGACAGATGAAAATATAAGTACAATGAATAAAAAGATACAGAAATTTAGGTAAAATAAATACAATTGAATAAGAGGAAAATGAGATAACCATAAAAGAAAATTAAGAGAAGGGAGAAATAGTGAGAAGTTGGAAAAAGAGTAATAAGATATGAAGTTGAATACATAAGATGAATATGCATATGAAATTGTGTCTGTATGGAAATGTGATAACCCGGAACGATGCTGTACTCAAATAAGATGTTTTATTTGTTTTGTTAAAACTCAATAAAACTTTATATACATACATACATACATACATATATATATTTAAACCCATCATAATAGCCATTCTCTATAAAATTGTAGATCTGACATGTAGTTAAGTATTAGTCATTTGAGGATATTAATATGCCAAAATGTACACATAATTTCCTAATATCTAGAAAGATCCTTTGATTCGCGCATTGAGTAACCAAGCTTCTTGCCTATATTTTAAATTACAGAAAAATGATTTCAAAATTTTGTGTGGTTCTCAGGACAGGACAATTTGATCCTCCAGTATAATTACTTTTTGTAATTTATTATAATTGTTCCTCATTTTAAATCATTGTCATTATTACTTCATACATTGTTTGCAAAATCAAGTGAGCATATTTATTTCAATGTTTATGCAACATTTCTCTTCCAAAAAAAAAAAAACAAACAAACACCAAATAGTGTGCGTGAGAAAGGAAATACTTTTCTTCTTTTATCTTGTGGGCAGCACTACTAGATAAAGTGATGATTTTTTTTTTCTGTTTCTTTGTGGAAGAATATAAAGAAGGGAGGAGCTCAGCAGGCTGTTTAACTAGTTAATGTGATATAAGAAGAAAAAAACTTGAGACATTTTAGAAATTAATGTGTATTATGTACAAGGCTCTATAGAGTTAATCAAGTGGGTTTGTTTTTTTTTACTAAAAGATCTACCTTGACTTGTGTATGGTCACATCAAGAGACATAAAATCACTTTTTTATCTAATATGCTATCCTTATTAGTTTTAAAAGTGGTTTGTTTCTTGTTCTTGGCATATTGTCCAGAACAAGCCATTATTTTGGAATAAAGACAGTTATTCAATTGTAAGCAGAAGAAAAGGAAATATAAAACTTACAGTTTGTATATCACGGTCAACTGATTTTAATCATGATTTGAATGAAACACTACTGTCTGGATTCTATAATGCACTATTATAAATCATGATTTATAAATTGCAGTTGTTGGATTCACACAACACACTAAGCCCAAACGAAACAAAATCTAATATGGCTTAATATATTAATCAATCATATTGACCAGGCTAGAGCAGATCTTATGTGAGGAAAAAACTGTGGAAAAAAGGAATTTTTTCAAACACATCAGCATAATCCTTACTTACATTTACTGTAATCATGCCACAATCTTGCCCTGACAACATCAGTTTCAGCAATTTCCCCATTATCTTCATGAGGTTGCTTTTGTTTTATCCCCAGCCATCAGTCAGACCAGCCTAAACATTACAAAAGTAATATTCTTCCCCCTTATTTCAGTGCATCTCAACAACAGCCTCTAAGTGTATACAATCTTTGCCATTCCTTTACAATGAAGTTAAATGACCTGTACTGACTGTGGGTAGAAATGTGTTTGGGATTTTAGGAAGTGTAGTGCCAACTGCCTTCTGATCACTAGCTAGCTTCCAGCCCAGCCACTTCTTTCCTAGCATTTATCTTCTGGGTTAGCAGTTGGTTTCTTGAGTTCCTCTCATAGCCGTCCTTCCTCACGATACTGTTTTTGACACCTGGTTTCCAACAAAGTAGAAGAAACAAACCTTCCTTATTTTGTTAGGGAAAAGGGCATATTTAGGCTTATTGGCTAGTTTCCTGTAGTTTCAAGTATTTTCTTTTCCCTTCATAGCAGCTGGTTGGTTTTAACTCACCTGTTTGGATGTTTA